ACCTCAGCACAAGCTCCCAAGGTTGGAAACATTCGAACCCGACTACTTGTTTCATGAGATTATATGATTAATTCGTTCTTTGAAATAAGTGTGAACTGGAAATCCAGGATGCTTTGCACAGCTGGCGTTCAGCGAGGTCAGATGTTTTTCCCAAAATGCTGTAGATGAATCCAGTAACACAGTACCGCGGAAAATGAGGCTATCGATGAAGGGATCTTGTCTTTGATGTGCGAAATCAGGATCAATGTGAGCACGAGTACCACACCTAATCTTACTGCATAAAACGCATTCACCATAGTAGTCATTACTTCACGGTTAAGCGATCTCGTACGTACTCCACTGGTCTCATTCGACAACTCAAACAAACGGCTATGTGAATCCATCTTATTGAGTGCGTCTCAGATCCTGGTTATTCATTAAGCCCTAAATGATTTGAACATTATATGGATGGTAAACTCCTTGTGTGTACCAATGGAAAGTTATGTTGATGAGCATCAGCACTGAGCGGAAAAACAACTATCTTATGCTCTATGTCAAACATTACACGTATTTATGTCACTAAAAAACTTATATGTTGGTGACTTTTTCTCCCGTATAGCACAAAAATTGAAATGAAACGCATCCCTCTTACCGGGATAGGTAAACACTTTCATTACTGTGGTACGATACAATAGACTGACTCGCAGCCAACACGCACAAATCGTATCGACAAACAATGTGTTACATTTTTATGTTGAACTAAACTGTGAGTTTGCCTGAGGTCCGATAGGGTTCTCATTTTTGGTTTTAGCGTGGGTAATCAAGCGAGATGTTCACAAGCATTCAAAAAAACATTTAATACATAATTTTATGTATTTCTTTACTTCAACCCACACCTATTTCAAATTAAATGACGGTGAAAGTGCACATCCGGTGTAGCGTGAAGCAACTGGTGAACAAGTATCGCCTCGCTTAACACGTGATTACGTGGCGTTAGACACGGATACTTTTGTGACACGATGATAAACCACTGAACAAATAAACTTCTTTGCATAAACAATATTTCTTAATCATGCAGTAGGTTGAGTTCCATTTATCATATCGAATGAAACCGGATTCAGCTCAGTCCCCCCTTCCCCAATAAGAAACACCGACAGTTAGGGGTATTATCAGGGAACAGGTTCCGGTACATAGTAGGCAAACTACTAAAAATAATTCGGACCAACTGAGTGACCATTGTTACTGAATCTGTGCAACACAAGTCGATTTTGAGCTTTTCATATGAAGAAAGCCACAGCGTGCATAAATGAGACATTCGTATTTATAACGGGTCCAATCAGTTCGGATGATGGTCAATACGGAGAACAAAATACAGACCACAGTCTGTTCCCCTAACCCGAATTGATGACCCCGAAACCAAAAGTGTTACCGACACAGATGGGAAACCGATATTTATCTGACTTCTATGTGGTCCATCGTATTAGTATGTCTGGTGATAATTCTGCCAGGCCTCCAGTAGTTACTTACGTGATTAATGCAGCAGGTAGAACTCCATTTGCCATATCGGATCAAACCGTATTCATCTCAGTCATCCAATGGAGCAAGTGGTCGACCTCCATAGATAGATTAGGCTGGTTGGTTGAATGTCGCAAACAGTGGCGCTCGTGCATCCACATTATCATTAGTCTTGCAATCCCATTCTATATGAATTCTTTATATTCCCCTTAAATTTGCTCTCAACATTCCAATCTATATTCTGCTTTGTCATCCAAATGAGTGGTCAGAAGACAGAAACCAAAACCTGGCGCACAAAAGTGCAAGATTAATGGTTGTAAAAAGTGAAACTTAAACCGTGCAAACCATCAGACCAAGGGAACACGTGTGTTTACTGAAGAACCAAAGTAAAACGTCTGCATTTGTCTGTCTGGTGACATACCCCCCCCCTTATCTCTTGAAAACCAGCCACAGAAGGCCAGGAAATCCAGTGTGTAACGAACATTCGCATTGGTGCTAATATTCAAAAGTTTTCTAAGAATTGTATAAAAAAACTGATAAGATCTGGCTCCCGTTATAGATCGGATTAGGTGCTCACCTGGCACGTGTGTCTGATACGCAATGACTACAACGAAAAGGTTCATGGGCAGTAAAAGACGAGAAAAAAGTGACAGGATCTGAAAAAGAACCATAGCAGTTTCACTTCATCGTCCCTATGCTGATCTCAGCTCAGTCAAGAATCGTTCATTATCAGTAGCACATGTTCACATCCTACTAGCCATGTTATCAAATTAGTCTTGTCACTTTTGAACGTAGTTACCTGCCGCGTTTGTTCCGAAGTATGATCCGTCAGTTCACCTGAAGTTGCGGTAACACATGCTCCATCGTTTCACATTGTCTTGTCCCTTTCACCCGTGACTTTGTGCAGGTATATTCCCTCTAAACCTCCCTGCCATCTGACTAGATCATGTTCCGCGACTTGCGACACTTAGAATCCCTCAACCCGATGTGAGACTGTCTGATTACCGGCTTGTACGTTTTTTGATGCTCCATAATATTTGTTCTCTCCTCCAGAATTCTCTCTTCGACGTAGTTAGCAAGATCGTTCAACGCGAAAACAGTCAGTTTGGAAAATATCAGGAAGAGTTTTGCGTGGACCTATATCAGTGGACATCGTAGTCTGCACTTAAGACAAGTTCAAAGTTTTATTATGATTGTTTCTGTGCCGAACCCGGTTAGAACAATAGTGCGTGTATCTTAGACGAGTCAAGCGTTGTCCCGGAGTCATCATCGCTTGAGGTTTCTATTCCGAATTTCCCACCTAGAGCATCGTTCCACAACTGATTCTTCTATGATGATTCGCTGCCAACACTTAAGCAGCATCGGATTCAGAACTTATCCTCATCCTTTGCCGGCCCGAAAATCACGCCACCGATCAGATTCATTTATCGATCGATTGGATGGTACAGCCTCAACAAGGAACCTGAGGCTTGCCCAGTTAACCCAAGCGAGAATCGACACCTTGTCTACAGCCGCGAATCTTTAGCAGGCCCAGTGAACTCCGACTGTAGAGCAAGGATGCCATCACCACACGGATGGACTGGACGTGACAACAGGAGTATCACAAAAAGTACAAGGCGGTAATCAGACAGTCTCACATCGGGTTGAGGGTTTCCTAAATGCCGCAAATCGCGGAAAAGGATCCAGTTAGGTCGCAGGGAGGGTCAGAGGAACTATACCTGCTCAAGGTCACGGGTGAAAAGGACAAAAAAACGTTGAAAGATGGGGCAATCGCAATGTTCATTGGCTGAACAAACCGAACATTATCAAAATGATTGTCAGAACCAACCACGCAATACCAAAAGAGTTCTGTCTTAAAGTTCCGTTTCGTGATCAACAAATGAAAGATACCAGAATATCCTCAATTATCGATTGATTTGAGAAACTACCACTTTGAACTGAGAAAGAAACGCTGTGGTTAGATCGCCTCCGTTCAGTCAAATAATCACACATTTTTTCTGCCCTCCCCCAGATTTGCAACCTGTCTTCCCACGCTCTTTCTGTATTGAAATCAGGCAGACCTCAGTCTTGCATCTTGTCGAGCTCGCTGACGGACGTCCATTCAGTGGGTAAGTGAAGCCGTGCGAGTTGTGCGAGACAGCTAAGCTGGACCCGACTCGAAAAGCACGAAAGTTGACGCACTGTTTCGTGCGCGCTAACGGTTAAGGCACAACTGGTCGTTGTCGCTGGGACATTGATGATAGCTCATTCGCCAAAGCTCGCCACAGTAACTAGGACGAAGAATGAGTTCAGTGCCTATGGTGTAATCCGAGCTGCGGACTTTTCATTGCGTAGATCCTGAGCTCATTCGAATAGAAAACTGAGTTGAAAGGCTTCGCTTGGAGGATAGGTTTTTTGTGTTGCATAAAACAAGCTGCGGGAAAATGATTGCACTTTCGACCGTTTCAAATCGGATCCCGATAGCACTTTTAGGCGTCGTTAGATGCACTGGGGAGGGGGAAATGATTCTCGCGTTATCATGTCCTAGTTCACTGTTCAAAGTGAACACAACGCACTTGATTGTCTCAAAGTGGCGTGAAAACCGTTGAACAATGAACTGGTTTTTCCAATGCATATATTGTTTTTGCTCTGCTTGAAAAATGATGGAGAATGAAATCAAGTGTGTCCAACAGACCTCCGGAGGAACAGATCATTTAACCGCGGAGGTGGTCCAGCGATTTGGATTGTTAACTTATTGCCCTGAAGAAAGTAGGCTGAAACCCCACAAGCGCCGACGACTAAATTTACTCTTTTTCGATATAACGTAGACCTCCGATTGGTCACCTCCTCCTTGCTAGGGATTTTTTTTGTTTGTTTAACAAGATGAATTGAAAAGAAAAGTATCCGCATTGAGGTTTAATTAAAGAAACTCTAAAAAGCACAAAATCGTTCTTTATTGAAGTCCTTGTATTTCAGGCAGAATAAAAGTTCAGGAAATTGAGGCGCTCTCACTTGTTTCACTCCAAATCAATGGAGCACTAAGAGACGTCACTAGATGTCGTAAACGAGGTAGAGGACAGTTCACATCTCATTCCCATATTGGAAAAAGCAATCCGTATCACTCATCGAAATGCTAAGTTCAAAAATAGTGTCTACTGATCAAAAAGGATGATTGACAAGGTTTCATTGTCCCGGATACAGATTTGGGTTGCTTATGATGGGCTACAGTCGTACATACGCATGCATATGACGTTACACGGAACAGAGTGTAAAACACCAGTTGAAATGCGACAACTGCTGAATGGCCGCAGTTCATACTGACCGGCCCGAGCTGTTCTCAATTCAATCGGCCAAAATTATTCCGTTCAACAACAAAAAATAAACATGTTGCATGATGATTGGAAGGTGAGCATTATTTTACCTACAGAATATGAGCACAAATTGATACTTCAGATGAAACATGGCCAAATGAAAAGATGCCCAGTTTGGAAATCGGAAAAAAGAAGCAAAGGTGATGGAATAGTGAATCACAAACTTACTATATCTTTCATCGCGACTTTATCATCCAAACTTATCGGGGATAGTGCGGCTTCGCAATTTTCTTTGGATGGTTCATTGGAACCGGAAGGATGTCTGGGTGAATCGTGAATCGNCCTAGGTTCTCGAAATCCGGACGAACTAATTGGAAAAACGAACATTGCGAGGGGGATAGAGGGCCAAGGGAGTGGAGGGAAAATTAGGTTAAGATGCCCTAATTGGGGGCACGGAAGCAAAAGGAACCTTTAGCATCAAAAATCACTCCATCGATCGAGCGAATATGAACAATCGTGTGTAAAATCGTCCTATACCCCCAAATTATCACATGGCCTTACATATGTTTACCTTTGAGGACAATTTGCGATGATCTAATTTGCCTGCTGCTTAGTTCAACCTTTTTAATTCCAACTGGTTTTACGGCCTTATTCCATACGATTGTGCACTCACAGCAAAATGGTTGAACTTGATTTTAGGAACAAAAGTTTACAAATCGCATTTTACAACCTCTTCGTTGGAATTCTTCCGAACACTGTTTCACGTTGATAATGTTGCCCCGAATCGAAGAGTCAATGAATGGTACGGCAAATCGATCTAAGTCTGACGTGCAAGACACCGTACTTACGCACTTTTGAACGGTCCAATTGATCAAACAAAATCCTTCATGGGATGATACTGACGACACCAACCAACCAACAGTGATCTATCAACGAGCAACGACCGGTTACAACCAGCAAAACAGACTTCCCTTCCTTTACGTCTTTGCATACGTTCACACGTGTGGGACCATGCGAACTAGTCGCAGTTACAGATTATATAAATCGCATTCAAATTTTAGTTATTCACAAAATGTCAAGTGCGGAGAATTTCAAGGAATATTTTCATGCACTGATATGGCTGAAAATTCAATAATGAAAGAAAATAAGCAACCTGTGACTCGCTGTAGAGCATATTTCTTTCCACCAAAATTTGAACGAAATTTGATATTTGTATTTCAGTTTAGCGCGAATGTCTACTCAGTCAGAATGATGACGTTCATTACTATTGGTACTCCTATCAATCGGTTAGCCAGATTTCAAAAAAGACCATATTGCAACACGACACGATTTATGCCCAGATACCAAAATACAAGTTGCACAAATTAGTCCCGGTGCTTATCAACTACTCCCTACCCAAAAGTTAAAACTTTCCCCAGACCCAACAAAATAGGTTTTTCTACACTTCAGCTAAGTTTATCCCAATACTCAGATGATTTCACTAAGAGATCGGATACTATTTCATTGGAACAATTCGTCGTGTAAACGGTAAATGAAGGGTGAACTAAAAAGCTAGGAGGCACTGTAAAGCTGTTTCGACCAGGTCGGGTCTCATCAGCAGTGAGTGAATCCATTGCCTGCGCACATCGAATTAAAGTAGCTCTTCTTGTTTCTATAGACTTAAAAGTGTGTGCCAACTTTTCTGAAAATGTCAGTTTTCACGAAAACCAGAACGACCCGGTCCTAGAGTGAAATGAACTAAGTAAGTCAAACTATCTCACTCCATGATGGTAAAACCGATTATGTTTTGGCGTCATTACAATTATAAACTACTTTAACGTTTCAGTAACTGACAACAGTGCACTATTTAGTATTCGTTTTCACACTTGATGTCTGATATATCAACGGATCATTTAGCGAAAGAATTTGTAAAAGAATCCAAATAGCACCATGATAAATAATATTCAGAACGCCGTTCGAGGATCGTCTACCGACAACTGTGATCAGCTGCCAGATGTGTGTTATCAACGAGCCAGAAGATGTAACTAACGAGATTCGGAACCTTCACTTGGTTATGTTTTCTCGCAGATTCTTGTTGGTGTTGGCTTCCCTAGAAAACGAACTCTTCCCACTAAAGCAACAGACAAGTCTACTTAAAGGTATGAGAAATAGTAGTCGGAGTGCAACTTCATGCTTACATTGTGTTGAGCTCTTACATTCACCCAATTCCAGTTTATGAGGGTGCTCTTTTACTTGAGCTTCTTCCGGTTCCGTAGGTTCTTACGATAGAGCTTACTGCTAGCCTGATGCTTGATATATTGCACACATAACAACGGAAAGATTATCCTCAATATCGCATTATTCGTTCCAATATTGCTTGTCTGTGACCACAAACAGCTGTTCCCGAATAAGGATACTAAACGTTTCACTTACGATTATACGGTACTGAATAATGGTGAAAGTCATATACTGGAGTTGCTTCATGATGGTTAAAAGGCCTTCAAATAAGAAACGAGAAGATAGAGTGATCCTGGCTGGGTTCGAATTCATAGACTAACATTCTGTAGACAAGTGGTCAAACACCACCTAACCAGAGCCGACCGTTCACGTTCCATTGAATTTCTGTTTAATGTGGAGAGAAAAAAAATGCTGTTCATGGACAGAGGATATGGAACAAAATCACATCACTTGGATCGGAACCAACGTGTGGGGTGAATAAAACTAGGGCATGTATTTCTTGTGGGGATTATCGATTATCGAACAGATGTACACGAGCGTTGTGGTGGAAATTCTCATCCGGTTGGATAACTCCTGAGTTCACCCATCTTTATCCTGGGAAATTGTGGAACTCTATGAGTGTCAAGTTCACGATCTATAGTTAGTTTTCTCAGTTCCATAAATTCCTTGTTGAGAAGGAAACACTTGCGGTAATTTGCTTCCAATCGATTTGAGGGTGTACGCGTACGGGATGTATGGATGGAAATCAATATTTGTTTGTACATTTAGTGGGTCACTACTTGCAACAAACGTGAGATATATTGAGGATCACAGTATTTAGCTAGTGCTCCAAGGGTGTATAAAACTGAGAAGCTCCTCGTTTCAAGTCATTCATTCAGCTTGATTTTCAATCTTTCCGTAATTTGCTAAACTTGAGGGAGCAGAAATGAGGTTATCCAGAACTCGTTTCCTTGGAAAACACCGTCGTGGACAAATTACTTTAGCATAAAAATCGCGCTTTGAGTTCATTTTCAAGCCCATCGAACGAGCGATACACTGATTTCCGTTCGCCTCCCATATCCCACTATTCCATGGCTTCTTTTCGTACGTAGACGATTGTGATGTCAAAGAAAACGATACCGATGATGTTTATGATAAGAACTAAGCAAATGATGATACGAATAGACGATTGGAGGCTGATCTACAAACGTGGAAGGTGAACAGTGGCGCTACCAGGAGTATCAAAACCTCCTCGTTTCAAACACCGAATTTGGACCACTTTGTCTATATTGCAGTAGCATTGTGTACCTTGATACAGACATTTATCAAGTGATCGGCGCATATGGGAAGCTGAGTTATGCACAAAGCGCAATAATTCGGAATCTGTCGACATGAACGTCTCCACCATCCCCTCCTCTCAGTAGTGTAGAATGTTCAGTCTATCACATTCGGTAACCCCACCCCACCTCCACCCCCTATCCTCCAACCTTGTCACTGATGTGAGCTCTCCCCCTGCTCCATTGAAGTGTCGATTCACCCTAACAACCATTGCCGAAAGGTTGGCCAATAAATAATATTCGCACGGATTCTAAGAGGCTAGCTTGAGTACAACTTTATGACGCTATGACATTGGCGTGTGTTTGGATTCAAATGGAACAAAACAAGAACATTCACAATCCATAGCATCACAGGCCTAACGGTTGATTGTCGACCATGTAGGGCGGGAACAATGATTCTGGCTCTCAACCTAGAAGGTTCGCGGCATTTGTTGAAGCAGGGACACAAAGTTGGCCCTACTGAAGGGTCTCAAAAGCGGATGAAGTAACTGTTGGTTTTGTATCTTCACATGATACCCCGTGAAAATGTATTGGAAATTTGAAAAGCAAGTGAACTCTCAAGGACTAAGATGCTCACGGTTAGAAGGATTCGCATACTCTGTTTTGTGATGGGTGCGTTGAATAAAACAGGATCTTTCGATCAGTGAACACGAACAACTAATCCCCAAACAAGAGAATCTTGTAGAATCTTCCTTAATCTTCATTCGAACGACCAACATTCTAGCTTTTTGCCTATGGAAGTTGCCTTTGATGGCTCATTCGTGAAAGTGCTATGTTATGCGACCGCATATTATATGAGCTATTACGTGACAGTAAGCCGGCATCCAAGATGTACTATACGATTGTTTAGCTTGTCTGAAGTTGCATCCGAGTAATAGAGGACTTCATTTCTTACTATGCTGAGTTCGTCGTATAAATGCAGCGTAGGCTGAAAATCTAGGAAGCACAGGGCAGTTGTTTCGACCTGGTTGGGTCTCATTAGTAGTGCGTAAATCTATCGACCCAACTGAGGCTTGGACCCGGGACCTCATAGGTAGAACGCAAACACAGTTCCAACTTGGCCACTGGGCAGCTGATCAGACCGCTTCCCATTTTGAATATAACAATACCCATCTTTGCGAACTCACAAGTGTTCCTAATTTCTTTGTCAAACTATGTCCGTCATTAAAGTAAACATAATGGAATATCTGGTGGTTCGATTGCCCGGGTCTAAGAGTAAAATGTGTAATTTAGTTTAAACAAATACACCACCGATGTTTGATACGAATAGACAAATGTTGACAACTTTCACTGTGTGAATCCATACAATTAGTATATAAGATTATTTTTCTTTTGTTAAACCGAATTCAACTAGTTTGGAGTAGTTACCGTTGGTATTGAATGTACTGTTCGTCATCTAAAAGCGTATAGTCGGTGTGACCAGTGGGAAATTCATCTCCAGCAGACCACAAATCCCGGAAGTAAAAAGCATCAAAGGCCATTGCCACGAATTGCTTCGGGTTGCAAACTGCAATTTCAATAATGCTATAAATGAGTTCAAAACTAATAAGAGCAGATGAACTTCGGACACTGCCTTCTTATTACCTCGCTTAGGAAAACGGACTGTATTTTCAAACGGCTATTGTCTGTTTCAAGGACATAAATGATGATTACGGTCTGTTGATCGAAAAGTACACAAAAAGCTAAAATAGAGAAGCACCATTGATTGATGTTCCGTAAAAGAGTAAAATGCTTGGATATTTGAGTGATAAGGAACTCTATCTGTACTGGCTACATTCTTGTCTCTCTGGGAGTATGTTTTGAAACAAAATGGCGTTTTTGCCTCACTTGTTGACCGAAACTTAAATTCAAGTCCTTAACAAAATAAATCTGCTCAAAAAATGATTGAACCTGATATATGCCCTTTGGAAGCCTACATGCAAAGAATTCATGCTATTCATCTTTGGTGTGCTCGACAAGTTTCTTCACAACACAGTTTCTCAAATAGTACTGGTCAACTAAGATAAAGGCTGAACAAGGAAGAAGCCCTTGATTGTCGCGACTGACATGTGAATGGAGTTTTAAAATCGCACGAGATTTCATGAACAGAGACCTCTATTTCCCATCTTTTTGTGCGTGTATCGCTAACAGCACACACTGCATTGGCGGACATATTATTATATATGCTACTTTTGCCAATTTCTTCCTGATTTTGTGGTTTGGATTCAGTTCACTGACAGTGGTAAATGAGGAAATTACTCGAAGTTGCTTTTCATTTATGTTATATAGCAGAAATGCTATTCTATGAAAAAGCACATTCTGAGTTCTTTTTGAGTAAAAATACAAAACGAAATTTCTTAATTGTTGTGCAATAAGTGGACAATGATTTAACCAGTACACAGGTCCTAGGCAAACATATGTTTTGGTGAGTTCCTTCTAAGGCGAGAGATAAACGCTGTCAGAAACTGGCTAACCCGAAACGCTCATCAATCGTAACTGGTCCGAAAGAACAAAAAAGGTGGTTGCAGATAGAGCTGAGGAAAAGACTTAGATATTTAAACTTTCTTTCAAAGGAGATCCATCAGCTGAAAGTGTTAAGAGATTCCTGAGCTTCGCAGTTAAAACAACTTTCAGATGCGTGTTCTCGACATCACCCGCCATCCGATGTAACAACAGGGATAAGTTGTCTATGTTAACCTGGACATAAGGTGGATCCTAATTCGACTTTTACCATCATTTATCGCGTCCCACAACACAAATCCAAGGCTGCTGGAACTAAAAGGCTAGCAACAGCTGAGGATATTATCATCCGCTTGTTGAAGCCATAATTGTGTGCTCAAAAAACACTTGTTCAGGCACTTAAATTCCCCCCGGCCCAAAACGGACAACATCACGCATGAACGTTGTGATGAACCAAATCAATTATCAACGCTTACGTAACCTGTTCTTAGCCGAACAAGAGAACTATAGAGACAAACGTGTTCCTACCCCACCCAGTTGCTATAATTATTTGACGTCGAATGTTAGACCGCAACACAATACCTACCCGCTATTTTCTTACATAAATTTGATTGTATTGGCTT